ATCTGGATAGAATCAACAAATCGATATATATATATATATATGAATATATGAATACTTTACTTTTGTGTTAGGGATGTTCTTCTTCTTGTTCAGTGGATACCCACATGCACACACAAACCCACTGGATTCTCTCTTTTTTTTGCCTGAAATGATTCTTTTTTTTTTTAAACACAAAGCTTTGTCGTTTAATTTAGAACACCGGAGTGGTTGCATTCATGTGCTTCTCCTGTTCAATCCATATGCCTACACTCTCGTTATATCATTACATATATATATATATATATAAATGGAACATTTATATATTCCCTCTGATGGGTTTCTGATTCATAAAAACTTTAACCCATGTTAATTAATTTTCCAATAGATTTCTAGTTGGAGTTGTTATGGATGGATTCGTCGAGAAAGTACATGTCTTTACGTTTTCACATTCTCATATTTGCTCGTTAGAGCCAATGTACCTGCATTCATGGATCCGGTTCTTGAGCTTTTGTAGCAACTGCGTTGCAAACTCGGGGATGCACCATTTGAACACCTGGACCTGCATTTCATTCCACTACATGCATACATACATACATACATACATACATACATACATACATACATACATACATATATATAACCCAGAGTTATCACTCAAATTCCACATAAACATCACTTTTGTTAAATTCCCAGTATAACATGGGTTTCATTCATAAAAAAGGAAAGGACTCCACATTCCCATGTCCTAAGAAGCCACTAGAAACTATATTCCATCGACAAGAACCTCTTTGTCCACACTGTTCAGCTCCAACTGTAACAAATAACACAGAGAATGAAGCTGATTAGTTTCTTTCTACTTCAAATCGATTTTTTTACCTAATGAAGCTAAATGCTTGCAAGATTCTGGTCCCTGTCTTCATCAATAGCTGTCTGAAAGGAGTGATAATTCTGGGTTAAGCTAAGCACAAGGCGGAAGAACCCCGAGGAAAACCGCTCAGGACATGCAAGTACAGGGCGAGGCAAACGGTCACCAGAACCGAAGATTTCGCACCAAAGTATTCAACTACTTGCCGTCCTCTGTCCACTGCCTCTTCCTGAAACAGGTGGAAACTCCTCCTGAAGCCTTGTGATGTTTTCCACGTTACGAATTCGATGATCGATCTCATTGTTTCAATCGTTACTCTTCCCGTTACGTCGAATACAAACTTCCTATTGCTCGGGATTGCCAATGTGGAGGTGAGAGCCTCCCCCCACCCGGAAGGTGAGGTTTTTCTCTTCACGGGATATGAAAACACCTTATCCTTCAAGAAACCGCCGTTCTTGAAATTAGTTTCTTCGCTCTCGTCGATGATGGAACAAGCAGAGCATGAATCGTTTGACTTTGAAGATGTGAAGGCATCGTGTGATGTCCTCACAAGGGTCTCGAGAGCGCCATTACAGATCGAAACGAGAATGTCCCTTAAGCTGTCCCGATGATTTGGATTCGTCAAGCCAGCGAAAATCTGATCATAAGTGTTGATACCCACCGTCTTCTCGAGATAGACAGCGACCGCAGTGCTCGTGAATCTCTGAATGCACTCTGCCAAAAGCTCTCTACACTTTTCATCACAGAGCAAGCTCACCCATCTCGGTGTTTTCGTTGTTCCTGAAGAATCAAACCCACATTCTTCGCCACTTCGAGAATCGTCTCCGTAGAGTCCAAGAACCAGATTCTTGGCAAAGCTACCAACAACGACAGAGAGGAATCCAGATCCTGCCTTAGAGAAAACCCTCTCCATTACTCTATCAGAAAAGCTAGGATTTGAATTCAATCCAACATTTGAATCATGTGAATTTCTAGATTCCACGTTATACCCTCTAAAGATCCCTATGGTTACAGCCTCTGAAACCCTAGCGAGCGAATTCGTGAATTCCTTTGATTTCGCGATCTTAGAAATCTGCTTCAAGCTATTCGGAATCTCATCAGAATCTGAATTTAGAAACTCCTTCAAGTCTCGAGATACAATACTTATCGTCCCCGCCGAATCCGAGACCAGTTCGGCGACAGAAACAATGGCTCCGAAGAGCTTCATCAATCGATTCCTCTTCCTCGCAACTGATGGCAAATTGTAAACCCTGTAAACTCCATAGCCCGAAACTCCAAAAACCGTCAACAAGATCAGCCATTTTCTTCTTTTCTGAGGAAAAAACCAAACCTTTTCCGCCAATTGAAGAGGGTCCATTTAATGCTACAAAAATACCCTAGGAACCTTAAGAGTTACAGCTGAAAAATCCTAGAATTCTGAATACCCAGAAAATGATATGGAGGGGAGAGAGAGGGAAGGTGATTTCCCCGCCCCTCTAGGGTTTCAATTGATATGCGAATTGGCAATGGGATTGAGGTTGGGAATGTAAATTGGGCATTTGAGAGAAATCCATGCAAAAGCCCTATGAACCCTAGAAACTATGTGATTAAGCTGCAAAATCACAGATTTCTGAAAACCCAGAAAAAGGCATGGAGAGGGAGCGGAAAGTTGGGCAGAGGAATATTATCCCGCCGATCGAGGAGTCTAGGGTTTCATAGATCTGCAAATTGCAAAGGAATTGATATTGGGATCATAAATTGGGGATAAGATCATTTAATTTCCATATTTGTGTAGAAATTGATCTTATAAAGTGGATAGAATCAACAAATCGAAGCAAATTGACAGGGGAGACAGAGAGAGAGGACGAAACAGAGGAGATAACAGATTGCAAGTTGGGGAACAAGACAGAGAATCTTCGGTTTGGTTCGGTTTAATCTAAGAGAGCTAATTGGACGGTTCACAGAATCTTTCCGGTTTAAGAGGAACTTCTAATCATATAAGAAAATGTAATAAAGGCTTAACCCTGTCTCAGTTGCCAAAATTCCAAATTTCTAATCATAATTCTCGTCAAAATATGTATTAAATGTTTTGTTAATTAAGTACAGAACAGAAACAATAGAATTGTATATCAAAAAATTAAGTTATTGTTTTCATGGTACAAAATAAAATTTTGTAAATTAGTGTAAATGTATCTATCATTTAATACGTATTTATTATCAATAGATAATTTTAAGGATGAATATTAATAATTAGATAGTAATCGAATTCGATCTAACATTTGATTGATTTTGATTTTTTAAAAACTAATTTGATTAAATATAAATAAAAATTAACAATAACATACATATTCAAACAGAAATCCAGAAAATTAGTTTTATTTTTAATAAAAATTTTGAATATAAAAAATAGATTTCGAACCAAAATTTGACATAAAAATAAATATATTTTTTAATCTAACAAATACGAGTCTAAGCGAAACCTAAACTAAAAACGCAAATTGATAATATAGATATTTTTTTATCATTTATTTTATTTATCTTTTTATCATTTTTCTTTATAGATTTTTTTTTTCTTCTAATGAAATATAGACTCGAAGCATTAGGATTGAATTTGATCCATCCACCACTCAATTTGGTTTAACTGCAATTAATTATAAATAAATGTTTGTTAGGACAAGTGATTTTTTAGTTTATAACCATTTAAATAATCTATTACCAGTGTCTCGAGTTGTTATTTGAAAAAGTCACAAATCATAACAAAAAAAAATTAACATTTAAAATGGAAAGTAAAAAAATTATAATTCGACCATAATCACATATGAAATATATAACAGACGATATTGGGATGAAGGTGGGAGTGATCGTTAGTACAGTGGATACGGATAATGAACGACTCTCGAATACCGTTAGGTCAGAGAGATATAGAAATAAAGGTGGAAGTGATTAAGCTTCTTATACTAACAAGATGCATCTATCTTTTTGATTGTTTATTCCTAGAAAATTTCAAATGATGTGTGTTTGCTTTGGAGTAGTCTTAGAATATATGACCCTATGAAAAATATTTTATGAGATACATGCGAGTGAAAATAAAATACGCTAAAAAGACTCGTATGGATGGGTGAGAGCAATAGTTCCATCATTTCGTAACGTCCTTTACAAAATATTTACTCAACTTTTGTTTTTGTTTGAGATCGAACCATTCTCTTCTTCTTTTTTGTTTAATTCATATTGATAAAGTTTTTTTTTTAAAAACAAGGTTGGCCCTAAAGAAATAGTTAATAAATTTATCCATTCCTGTTTGCTTTCCATTGCAATCATACCAACATTTTGAGTCTCTCACTCAAATTCTACACAACACAAAATCCAATTTTAATCTATTTAATCTGATTTAGTACATGTAGAATATATATACACATCAATAAAATAAAAATTTTGGGAATTCCATTTGAATTTTGACAAATTCAATATTCAATACAAGACGGAGGGTGATAAGATCGATGAAGGTCATATTCCACTTATGCCATGAGTCAAAGTTGGATTGCATCAATGAGAAACACAATTTAAATACATACGCATATGCATTTACTTATACGTACATATATATATATATATTATAGCTTCTGGTATAATAAGTGACTAATTTTTAAATTACATAATATGGAATCTAAGATTTCAACCCCTCCGTTATAAAAAAAATTAAAACTATTTCTCACCAATCTCAAAATATGTATATATGTTTAAATAAAACAAAGCAAAAAGTTAATAAAATTTAGTTTCTTCTAATAGATGAATCCATCGAAATAATTTTCATAGTTGTCCTATAGCTTGATATTTTATTTATTGAATATTTTATTCTGGTAAAGTTTTGGAGTAACCTTAGTTGTTCTAGAACGTTGATATTTCCGCTTTCGCCTACCAAAAAAAAAAAGAAAAGAAATATATATATATATATATATATATACGTGTATACACACGTGTTCTTATCTAATTAGTATATATATATATATATGTGCGTAATTTAATTAGTAAACAAATCTAATTCTATGGGCGATGATATTTCCCCAAAGTCCAAACCCATCCAAAACTTTCTTCGTCTTAGGGTGGCCCCCTCATCTTGCATCCATTTTGGAATTACACCATATCAACACCATTAGATATACATATACATATTATATATATATATATATATATGAGAGGATTGCATTATTTTATTATTGATAATTAAAAATGTATTGAAAAACACTGGTACTTAGAATTTAAGTGACAAAATATATAGATTTGGGATAATTCCATTTAAAACCCTGTACTTTTCTCTCGTCTCAATTTAAACCCCATACTTTTTTTTGATCCAAAAAAACATTGTACTTCTAAAAATTGGCAATTAAAACTCTATACTTTTAAAAATTGGCAAATAAAACCCTGAACGAAAAACAATATTATTTAATGCTGACATGACATCCTAGTCATCTGCCACATCATCAATCCCTAATATTTAATAATATTAATTAATAAAAAATAAAAATAAAATAATAATAATAAAAATAAAAATTTAAAAATTATATATATTCATAAAATTATACACATATATAAACATGTTTATAAAAATTTTAAAATTATATACATATATAAATATATTTATATATACATATATACATATATATACATATGATACATATATATCTATATATGTGTATAATTATTATATGTTTTATATGTATGTGTTATATATGTATTTTTCCCAAAAAACATTATATATATATGTATG